ACAGACGTGCACCCTGACTATCATGTCCCTGGAGGAGGTCCCGCCCAGTCCGTGGCCCCACCTAGAATGGAAGCCACACTCAGCCGTGCGCCCAGGGCAGACTGAAGCAGAGGTGACCGTTCCTTTCCTGATGGCTGTGGGAGCCCCCCTCCGCCGTCCCCCCAAGTGGCCCCTGCTCTCCAGGAGGCAGGCAGGGCTGTTGTGAAGTAGAGATGGCCACAGCGCGTGGCTTCCGACCAGGGTCAGAACAGAGGCCAATCCCTGTGCCAGGGACCACCCCTGTGTTAGTGACGCTTTGGTCACCTGGCAGCCTGGCCCCGGGCTGGCAGCATGGATGTCCCTGGTGCTAGACGGCAGTCCTCGCGTAAGCCTCTTAGCATAGACATGGCCTGGATCTGAGCCGGTCGGGGCAGCCCCCACGCCTGGGTGTGGGCACGCGGACGCCTGCCAGGCCCCTCCCTGCGTGCGGGGGCCTGTGATTCTCCAGTAGGGGTGATATGGGCAGGAGCCCCGCAGGGTTAACAGGGGGTCAGAGGAAGCCGGTATCCGTGGTGTCCGAAGCCCGTGGCTGTGGCTGCATGTGAGCTGCAGAGCTGGCTTGTGGGCATCACCTCCCAACACTCAGTTCCCAGAGGACTTCCCCTCAGGGCAGCCCCTGTGCGCCTGCTGGCCTAAGCTGTGGGCAGCAGGTGTGGGGTCCCAGGAGTCAGAGGAGGAGCTGCCGGGGGAGGGCAGGGCCTCTGGGAGCACTTTCTCCAGATCTGCCCAGCAGAGGATGAGGATGGCACAGCAAACAAGTGCCGACCCCGTGTCCCCAGCTCCGCCTGCCCCCTAGCCACGGAGCCGGGAGCCGGCCTTGACCCGCCCGCCGCAGGTGCCAGGGCCCGGCCACTCCCCGCTCCCGCTGGCGACCTTTGCATCGTTGGGATTTTCTTCTGCACCAGGGACTTTCTGGCCTGTTTGGTTTTCCAAACTGTAAAGTTTGGAAGCTCGACTTGGTGGTTTTTTTTTTTTTCCTTGCTTGTTTTAAATTGTAGAAGGCCCCCAAGGAGGGCCGGGGTCCTCCCCCTGGCCTGCCCTGTGCTGCTGGCTGCCCCGAGACTTGGGATGTCTGAGGGCCAGGTCCCCTTCCCTGTGGGCAGCCGGGGAGGGGCCGCCTCCCAGCTTCCTCTGTGGCCCTCAGGCTTCTGCAGGAGCCGCCAGCAGCGGCTTTCTCCGGGACCTGCCCGTCGGATTTCCCGGGGCCCTGGGCAGCAGAGACCAGGCTGCTGGAGTGGCCAAGTCACAGAGGCCAGGACATCTGGCAAACGGGGATGTGCCTTTGTTGCCGCCGCTGCAGGGGTGTGCGGGTGCTGCCAGGGGGGACACTCGGCTCCCTGGTGGGCTCTCTCGCCCCTTGTGCACCCAGGTACTGCTGGGGTGGAGGTGCGGGGTTAGGCAGCCCCGGGCCCGGCCGTGCTCACGTGGCACGGGGAGCCGCTCTGTTTCCTTCGTTCCAGCTTCAAGGAACTTCACCTGGTGACTTGAAAACCTGTGCCGTGGGAACACAGAGAGCGCAGTCCCTTCGGAACAAGGGGCCACACCCCGTGCGCCGCCTCACTGCCGAGGCTGTGAGGATGCCAGGCGGCACCGGGCCCGGCCACTCGCGAAGGCTCAGGAGGTGGCCAGGTGCGGTTCCGCTGCACCAGTGCCCGCACTGGCTGCTGCATTCCTGTCGGGTGTTGGGCCTGGCCGAGCCTGGGCCGCTGCCGCCTTCGGCTCTTCCTGGTGGCTTTGTGTCTGTTTTCCTGAGCTGCCCTGGTGACCTCCTGGCTTGTCTGACGCTCAGTCCTCGCCATTTCCCCGCACTCTGACGGGCACCCGCACTGCCACCAGCCTCGTTTGTCCCAGGAGGGAGGGTGCTGTAGCCACGTGTAGGGAGTTTTTAATAGATATTTTAGTTAAAAATGTGAGGTTGTCAGAAGTCTTCGGTTCAGCAGTTTGATAAGTAAAGTTTCTTCCACAGCCATGTCCTGGACAGCCCTGTGTTTCTCCGGGGTTCCTTCATGCACAGACCTTCAGCGCCCGTGGCATTCTGCGTTCAGGCCTCTCCCAAAGGGGCCCGGCCCCAGAAGGCCGCCGAGCGTGGCCAGCGCAGCTGCTGGGAAGGCGTGGGAGCCCAGCAGCCTCCCAGGGCTGGCAGGGACCAGCTCTCAGCCAGAGCCAAGGTGCCTGGCCCCGGGGGAGGGCGGAGCAGCTCCCTCCCAGGCCCCAGGGCCCAGCAGCCTGGCTCGGGGGTTGGTGCACAGTGAGTTTATTTATGTTGGGGAAAGTAGACAAAGCTGGAATGAAAAAAACCGAACATGGCAGTTGGGGGTGGGGAGGTGGGTTGGGCTGGGAATGGCTCGCGGGGCCTGGAGACCTGCCCGTGTAGTGCGGCCAGAGCTTGCGCCTGTGTCCCCTCCTCCAACTTGAAGACCCCCTTGTCGGGGCGTACGGAGTTGTGCAGCCGCCTCCACCGTTGGCTTTAGAACATTGTCATCCACAGAAACCCTGCACCCCTGCCCCGGAGACTCGGAGCCACTTCCTGCTCCCTGAGTGGGGCTGCAGTCTGGGAGTCCTCCCCCGGGGCAGGTGGGCTTCCCCACGGTGGGGACCGCACGTGGCTGGGTCACGGCCAACCTCGAGTCAACCTCGGGTCGTCCCCGCTCCATGCTCCCCGTGTCCTCTCCTCCTCCTCCTCGGCCGAGGTGCCTGCCTCAGGGCAGAGTGAGTCAGGAATTGCGTTTAAAGTAGCTGTTACGTGACTAACAGGGAAGTGTTTGCCGGGAAGGGGCTCTTGCATCAGGGAGCTGCCCTCGCCGGCTGCGCTGGGCAGCGTGTGTGCACCTGGAGCACCTGTGCGCGGAGCAGCTCGAATCTCCGTGTTTGCAACGGAGCTGGTCTCTGCCGTTCCAACACTCCCCCGTTTTGTCAGCCAGGGGAGGCGGAGCGGCGGTGAGCCCTGGTCCACCTGCCCGGTGCCTCCGCAGCCTCTCCTGCTGGAGCCAGGAGAAGGCCATGAGGGTGTAGGAGCCGGGAGGCTTTTGCCCGTGGTCAGCCAGCTCCAGCTGGGACCACGCCCAGGCCCCCCCCCCACCCTGGGACACAGCCACGCCCCCTTCCAGGCAACCTTGAGGACTCTGCGTGAGCTCCCAGAGCACAGAGAGGGCGCAGGGCTGTGCCTGGGCCCCTGGCAGGGGTAAGACGGCAGACAGGGCCTGTTTGTTCCCTGGCCGCAGTGCAGGGAGTTGGGGGAAGGAGCAGAAGCCGTCCTCACGCTGGTGGGGCAGGTGCATGTGCACATGTGTGGTTGGGTGGGGGCCCTCTCTCACTCAGGCTGGCTGCCTCAGACAAGGCTCACCTTGGTCCCGGTCAGGGCCCCCAGGCCCATCCCCACACGGACTCAGGTGGGTGCTGGCTCTGGGACCTAAGTGGCCGTGACCTCTGCCCCGCAGTCGCTGAGGCGAAGCCACTGTGCTGCAGGGAATGAGAAGACCAAAGGACACGCGTGTGAGCGCAGAGGAGAAAATGGCAGGGTTTTACGAACAGATTCATTCATTTACTGGAGAAGCAGAGGGAGACACAGAGGTCTTCCCATCTGCTGGTTCACTCCCCGAATGGCTGCGCCGGTCAGGGCTGGGCCAGGCCGAAGCCAGGAGCCTGGAACTCCATCCGAGTCTCCCACATGGGTGACCGGGACCCGAGCACTCGGGCCACCACCCGCTGCCTTCCCAGGGCACACATTAGCAGGGAGCCGGATCAGACCAAGCCCTGTGACCGAGACACAGGCGGCCGAGGCAGCGTCCTGACTGCTGTGCCACGCGCTGGCCCCAGGAAATTGCAGGTTCTTTTAAGTCGCCTTGAGTTGCCCTTTCAGCAAAACCCGAGTGTGACGTCAGCGTCCAGACCCCGCCCCACCCTGCCAGGCTGAGACCGGGTCTCCCAGACGCTCCCTCGCTGGGACAGATCGCAAGTCCTTGTCCCAGGGACCGTGAACCCGGTGTCCGTGGTCAGCGGGACCCGGTGCTGTCCCGACCCTCTTCTCGGTCTGTGTGAGAATCAGCCTGGGCCGCTGGGCCAGCCGAGGTCACTGCCTTTGTCCAGGAGTGGGGTGAGCGGCGAGCTCCCGCCTGCCCCGGCACAGAAGGCCCCAAGGCCTGTCCACCAGCAGAGCTGCCCCTTCTTCACCTCACCGTCAGCAGATTCCGACCTCATCATCAACCCTGGTTTTCAAAAGCTGTTTTCACCAAGAGTGGAAGGAGTGTTTGCTCGAGCGAGATTTGCGGTAGATTCGCTGTTTAAACACTGCTGCAGAATTTAAAATAGAAGCAGACCACGCGGCAGCTGCCCCGAGGATTCCCAGAGCAACACCACAGAGGGCTCCCACCTCTCAAGTGTCAGTCCCTTAGCAGGATCCGGGGCCTGTCCAGGAGTTCCCGAGTGCCTGGGTGCCCCTCACTGCCCATCTGGTCGGACAGCCTTTTCCAGACCCGGGCAGCCGCTTCCCTGTCCTGCGCCCGAGCTGGGCCGTTAGCGGCACTGCCGAGTGACTTACCGGGGAGGCGAACCATGGCTGTCACCCCCCTGTTCATCCAGGCACGGTGGCGCTGACGGTGGCGTCTGAGGCCTTGCCTGCTGCTGGGGTCGGGTTTGGAGGAGCCTGGAGCTTCTTCCCAAGGCTGTGACTCCCACCTGGGGGTGGCAGCAGCTGCGTGGTAGACAGAACGTGGCCATGTCTGGGACCTCTGGGAGGTGGCATCGTCGGCATTTGTCTGGGGATATTTATATATCTCTGCTCACATGCACAGTGACAGGACAGCTGATGTCAGAACAGGCATGCAGAGAGAGCCCCAGAGTGACCGTGACTGGGAGCCGCGTGCCAGCGGCCGGGGCTCGCGGGGGTGTGGCTCTGCCGGCCGGCCGGCGGCTGCCACCTCTCCGCGCTCCAGTCTGATCCGCCGCTCTGCCTCCTGCTGCAGGTGCACTTTCCGGTTCCCCAGCACGGCCATAAAGATCCAGTTCACGTCTCTGTACCATAAAGAGGAGGCCCCGGCGTCCCCGCTCCGGCCGCTGTACCCCCAGATCTCCCCGCTCAAGATCCACATCCCGGAGCCGGATCTCCGGAGCATGGTCAGCCCCATCCCTTCCCCGACCGGCACGATCAGGTAAGCGGCTCTGGGGTGGAGGAAGCGGGTGCGGTTCCAGGGTGGGGAGGGCGGCGGGAGCTGGACCTGGCAAACCCGCTCATGGAGAATCCCCCTCACTTAGCGCGTCTGCAGTTCCAAGTTTTGTCCATTAGCAAGCACAGGCTCTGTTTGGTTCAGCTTTGAGTCACTGAAGTCGTTTTAAAGTAATGTGTGTGTCCCAGGTTTGGTGAGGTTTGTTTTTCTAAACTTCGTCTACGGAAACTCTCTGTGAAGTCTCAGAAAGCAATCCGAAGCTTGAAGACGGGCGGGTTCTGCAGCTTTCCTTCCGAGACAGAGATAAGCCCCTGGGAGGCTCCCGGGTGGAAGCTGTCACAGAGCCCGGGGGCCTGGCCGCTGGGGACATTCCCGTCGGTCCTGAACGGGTCTGTGGGCCATGTGCGTGGGAGGCTGCGTGTGGTCTGGAGGCGCAGGTGCACGGCTCCTTCTGCCGCTCGGGCGTGATCAGCAGAGCAGAGGTCGGCTGGTGGCACAGGCAGCTCCTGTCTCAGTGTTACTGGGGCTCTCTGTGGCCCGAGGCGCCACCTCTCATGAGTCCCGGGACAGGAGGTGACCGGAAGCTTCTCCTGTGGGCCTCGCCGCCCCTCCTGGCAGCTCATGGGTAGAATCACCTGTGGGCACTGTTGTCATCCTGCGTGAAGTTCTCTTCACAGGCCGGGAATTGTCTGCTCGTGGATCTCGTGAGCGTGCAGCAGAGTTCAGGACGGCCTTGGGGAAGTGCAGGTCTGGACCTGTGTCGGGTCTGGCCACGCGTGTGTCACGGACCATGTCTCCCTGTGGGGGGGAGCAGGCGAGGAGGAGCACACCTGGCCCGGCACACAGCGCGGTGCCCGCAGGGACGCCACTTCTCCGTCTGGTTTCAGATCTGTGGCCGTAGCCCTGCTCCCACACCCAGACCGGAGCCCGTGACCCCGCTGTGGTCTCAGACGCAGGACAGGAGGCCAATCCTACATGCTGGCCGCTGCGTCGCTCACTGTCGCTCACTGCTAACCTCTGCTTACTCAGACCCCGGGGAGTAATCAGACGTGGACACAAAGCTGCACGCAGGAAGTGACAAGGCCACCTCGGAAACAGTCTGCGGCTCCCCAGAAAGGTTGAGCTGAGGTTCCCACGCGGCCCCGTGGTTTCCTGGGTCCCGGGGGCCACAGACGCCGGCGGTGGCCACACGTGTTCACGCGCATGGTTCCCCGCAGCCCCACGGGGGAAATGGCCCCGAAACCTGCCGGCTGAGAGGGTCGGGCAGCAGCCCCAAGCCTGACCCCACACAGGCAGGCGGTGGTTCAGAGGCAGGGCGTGGAGGGAGGGGTCCGGAGAATGTTCTAGAATCCGTGGTGACTGCACGGCTTTGCGAGTGCTGGGCTTTGAGGGAAGTGTGTAAGGGAGTTGCTCAGAGTGTTAGACCTCACGCCTGGGTCAGCCTTTGCTCCTGGCCACCCGGGTGCAGCCGGTGCGCCGGGAGGCTGGGGTCGCGGGTGCCCCCGTCGGCCGCACGCCAGCGACTGGGTTTGCGGACGGTGGCGACTTTGGGGCCTTCCGTTCAGTGTCACAACCAAGGAGCTCTGTTTACATCCGTTGATCTTAGCTCTGTGGAATTCAGGCGAGCTTTGAGGTCTTGCTTCTGTGTTTGACTTTCTGCGGCAGGGCGGGGCCCATGTGTTTACAAACATCTCGGCTCGCCGGCCCCGCCCGGTGCTGCGCCTCCCTCCCGGCCCCGCCCAGGCCCCGCCCAGCGCTCCGGCCCCGCCCAGGCCCCTCCTGCTGCTGCGCCTCCCTCCCGGCCCCGCCCAGCGCCGCGCCCCCTCCCGGCCCCGCCCAGGCCCCGCCCAGCGCTGCGCCCTCGCCCAGGCCCCGCCCCCAGAGCCCTGCGCTCCCTGGCCCCGCCCCCCGCCCCGGCCGACAGCCTCGCCTAATTTGGTGCGCCTGCCCCGCGCGCCTCCCCATTGGCCCGCTGTGTGGCTGCCACGCGGAGGCCTTCTGTGGGCTGGGCCCTCCCTGAGGCAGGGTCGGGATTGGCTGCCGCCCGCGGGCGCGTCCCGCCCTCCCGGCCCGGCCCCCTTCCGTGTTCCCCGGGGCGGGGCGCGTGCCCCACCCCCGAAATGAATGACCCAGCCTGCAGCGGCTCCGCCGTCCGGTCCGGCAGCGCTCTGATCTCTTTTCCATTTAGGGAAGGATAAGCTGAGTGGTCATTCCTTAGAACAGCCCAGGGCCGTCTGGGGGCTCGGAGAGGAAGCTCCCGGCTTCCCGGGCGGCCCGAGTTGGGGTCTCTGCGGGCCAGGCCCCTGCCTCCCCGCGGGAAGCCTGGTCCCGCCCAGGGGCGGGGGTGGGCGCTCGGCCATCCGCCCCGCCCGCGCACCTGCTCCCTGTTCCTGCCGTATCCCTGGGGGCGTTCCTGGGGACGGGGGCCCTAAAGCGTGGAGAGTGCTGTCTCCCCACGTCCGCCCAGTGAGGTTTCCTCCCTGGTGTGGGCCCGGCCGTTTCTTTAAAAAAAAAAATATTGGCCGGCGCCGCGGCTCACTAGGCTAATCCCCCGCCTTGCAGTGCCGGCACACAGGGTTCTAGTCCCGGTCGGGGCACCGGATTCTGTCCTGGTTGCTCCTCTTCCAGGCCAGCTCTCTGCTGTGGCCCGGGAGTGCAGTGGAGGATGGCCCAAGTGCTTGGGCCCTGCACCCCATGGGAGACCAGGAGAAGCACCTGGCTCCTGCCATCAGATCAGCATGGTGCGCCGGCCGTGGCAGCCATTGGAGGGTGAACCAATGGCAAAAGGAAGACTTTTCTCTCTGTCTCTCTCTCTCTCACTGTCCACTCTGCCTGTAAAAAAAAAAAAAAATTATTTATTTATTTGAAAGTCAGTTACACAGAGAGAGAGAGAGAGAGAGAGAGGTCTTCTGTCCACTGGTTCACTCCCCAAATGGCTGAATGGGTGTAGCTGTGCCAGACAGAGCCAGGAGCTTCTTCCTGGTCTCCCACAGGTGCAGAGGCCCAAGGACTTGGGCCACCTTCCATTGCTCTCCCGGGCCACAGCAGAGAGCTGGATCGGAAGTGAAGCAGCTGGGACTTGAACCAGTGCCCATATGGGATGTGGGCGCTGTTTCTGTCTTGTACTTTGTCTTCCTTCCCCCCTGGGCTCTGTGTGGTGAGGTCCCCGCGGGCCTCTCCCTGGCCAGGCCCACACCCTGCCAGGGCCGGGGAGGGGTCTCTCCTGCCGAGAACTGGGTCTGGAGCCCCTCACCGTGGGATTCTCTTCACCGTCCTGGGACTCTGTTCCTGATCTGCTTTGTTTTATCGGGGAGCACCCATCAGTCACTGCCTGTGGACGGGATACGGGGGAGTGCCTCTGTGCACTCCTGGGTGGAGGGTTCTAGGTTGTGGGCGTTTTCTGTCCAGCCTATAATCATCTTCCGGCCTGGAGGGACTGATGCCGCTCTGTCCCCATCCTCTCCCGAGGCTCAGGGCCCTCCTGGGTCCCTGCACGTGCGGTGACCCCAGCGCGGGCTTGGGAGCTGTTCCCGCGCAGCGTTTGGGCTGGGCGAGCAGGCCGGGCCTCCTGACCCGCGGCTGTAGGAAGCGTCTCCTCGCCCTGTGTGGGTTTCTCTCGGGCTCTCGGAGAGCTGGGCCAGCTCCCCCGACCTTCCTGCCTGCCTCCCCTTTTGTCTCCATCGGCCATCCTGGGAGATGTCCCGAGTCTCTCCTTTCGTTCTTTATTGGATTTAAAACCTTTTTCTTTTATTGTTCTATTCATTTTTATTTGAAAGAAAGAGACGAGAGAGAGAGAGAGAGAGAGAGAGAGATCTCCCATCACTGGTTCACTCCCCAAATACCTGCAACAGGCAGGACTGGGCCGGGCCAAAGCCAAGAGCAGGAGCAAGTTCTGCCTGCATCGGCTGAGTCGCTGGTCTGGGGTGGGGCCCCCGGGGGCCCAGGAGGGATGCTGAGTAGCCATGGTCAGCGAGTCTGCCCTCCCCCAGGGACGTCCCCTGATTTGCTCCAGGCGTCCGCACTGGGGGCAGAGGGCACAGAATCCCCCCACCCCCATGGAGGCTGTGAGCTTGACCTACAGCAGTGCGCCCTGGCCTGGGGCTCTGGCCGGGGAGGGGTCCTGGCACCTGACTGACAGTGGTTCCTGGAGGCCAAGACTGCAGGGGGGTGAGCGAGGGCCTGGCTCAGGATCGGTGCAGAGCCGTGGGGCGGGAGGAGGTTGCCTGGGCCTGGGTGGCTTCTGTAGCCCATCCCGGGGTGGCCCTGGGCGCCGTCGGGCTGTGCAGCTGGCTGCTTCTCAGACTCAAGCAGCACTGAGCGGCACTGCCTCCCTGCCTGCTGCCCATCAGCAGTAACGCCGGGGACGTCTTGGACGGTCCCAGAGGCAGCTTGGAGGCCTGGCTCCTGCACGTGGCTGAGGCTGTCTCGGCCATGCAGGCCGTCCTGGTGGGACCAGGCTATGACTGTTGGCTCCGGGCATGTCTGCCCTGCCCTGCCTCCTTGCCCGGAGTAGAAACGTGGCCCAAGATGTGTCTGTCCCCGAAGGGGCAGCCACGTCTCACTTTGTACCCCCTGGCGCCCTGCACTGGCTCCATGTGGTGCTTAGAAGTCACGATGCTTGGCCTCCACTTCTTGCCCCCTCCCCCAATCCAGAGCCCCACGCACCTGACAGCTGGGGGCAGCTCTTCCCCTTAAAGCATGCAAGTCTCTGGGCCCGGGGTCATACGTGGGGTCTGGGGAGGGCCCCGGATGTCTTGGTCAGTTCTCCCAGACAGCCCTACCGTGTGAGCCTGGGAGCTTGGATCCAGGCCCCTCCGAGGCCTGGGATGCTGGGGCCTGACTTCTGCCCCGACCTTCACAGTTTCCCGCCTGCTGGGCCCTGTACCACGCTCGGCCCTGGCTTCAGGCAGAAGTGGGGGCGGCTGAACGTGTGAGCAAAGCCACGCCTCGGGCTTGCAGCAGCATGTGGGCCGGGAGAGGACACGCGACGTGGGCCACCCCTTGCCACCCCTCGGCTGTTGTCTGCGTTTGGAGTTCTCACGTGGGCACGGCAGCCTCTCCTCCGGGCGTGAGGCCTGCATGCGGACGTGCGTTTCCTTCCCGCACACACCCAGGGTCACGAGGCGCCCGCCATGAGCTCCACCCAGCCTGTCGCCAGGAGGCAGCTGGTGTTCCCAGTGTGACACGCGGCGTGGTGTCTCGGTCGCTCATGTGGGTGCAGGCGGTGTGGACGGGTTGTCTGGGCACGGTGAGCGGGAGCTCCGTGCAGGCTGCGGCCTGCCTGCTCCGCTCCGCGCTGTGCCTGGTGGCACTCAGCTCCCAAGTGGCTGCATGTGAAATGCCTGGTTTCTGAGCGTGGGTGCTGCTGGTGGGGAGCTCGTCTCCCTCCTCTCCCTGCCCCCCATAAGCTTGGGCTTCGTATTTAGGGTTCAGAGTGAAATCCAGAAAAAGTCTGTTCCCTGTGTCGGATGAGGCAGGTGTGATTGTTGACTGAAGTCTCCTACGCATCCTGCCACGTGGGTGAACTGGTGGGAGAGGGAGCCAGCATGCCCCTTGGCACATGCCCGGTGCTGCCACTGTGGTCGTCTGGCTCAGTGCCAGGTTGCTCCCGGCCGTGTGTGTGCTGCTGGCTTCCTGCAGGAGGAGACGGACAGTGGCTGGGACCCCCGTCCTGGGGCCTGAGTGGGGGTCCCAGAGGAGGTGACAGCGGAGCCCCAGTGTTGGGGTTAGGGAGGAGCCTTGGTGTTAGGACAAGGGGTGGGGGGAGGGTGTTCAGGCAGGGTGGCAAATGAGCTTGCGAGGCTGCTGGGGAAGGCGTGGCCTTCAGTGGGTCTCAGTTCTCGGGGTGGGGGGAGTGAGGTCGCACGCGCGCTGCCCGGGGTCCCCACACCCCCAGTGACCGTGGAGTGGGGGGGGACGGTCCCAGGGGTGCTTTCTTCCTGCGTGGTTGGTCCTCTCAGCATTCTGATTAAACACCAGATTCAGACTCGGAGCTTGGATGTGGTTGAGCCGGTCTTCGGTAACTGAGGGCCAAGGCTTAGCCATCAGCCAGACACAGCCCCGGCCCCAGGAACCCTGCGTTGTCTTAGCTCACGGGGAAACGGGACGTGGACGGGGTCTCAGGACCAAGGTGCCTGTGCCTGGCTGTGCAGGAAGTCACCCTGGAGCTGCCCTTTCTCATGGCGCCCCCGTGTGGACAGACATCAGCCAGCAGCCCACATGGGAGTCCCTGCGGAGTGGGGAAGGCAGCCCAGGCTGCAGGCTGACCTGCGTGGTGGGGCAGGATGGGCCACACACCGTCTGTGGCTGCACTCCGTGGCCCCCTGTCGGGGCTGTCCCTGTGGTCGTGCCCCGCCCCCACACAGGGTTACGTGGCGTGATGACAGTCATGTATGGAGAGCGTCGAGGGCCACACGCAGGCTCCTGTCCGTGACTGAACTTATTTGTGTTCTTTGCTCTCAGCGTCCCTAACTCCTGCCCGGCCAGTCCACGTGGAGCTGGGTCCTCCGGCTACCGCTTCGTCCAGAACGTGACCTCGGACCTGCAGCTGGCCGCCGAGTTTGCCGCCAAGGCCGCCTCGGAGCAGCAGGCAGACGCGTCCGGAGGCGACAGCCCCAAGGTCTGAGCCCTTCCCGCCCTCCGCGCCTACTGACCAGGTCCGGGCGGGCAGTGGGCGCCGTGCGTGGCTGCGTGCAATACAGCCAGTGGGGAGCAGCTGCCCATGCCCCCAGGTGGGGGCCCCTCCCACCTGCTCCTGGCCGAGTTTCACCGTGGTGGTGGAGAAGAAAGACACGTTTTCCTTGCGACCTCGTGTCTTCGTCCGTTTGCATCTAAAACACAATTCACTTGCTGAGGAGGCCACGTTCTGAGTTCTGGAATGAAGCCGAGGAGGGCCTGCTTCTTCCTTTCCGGGAGGCCCCGCGGCGGATCCTGGCCTAGCATGAGTGCCCGGCGGGCAGCTGCACACGCTGGGGGGAGTGAGCCGCGTCCTTGGTGTGGCCGGACACGCACGGGCAGGGGTCTGAGGCTGAGCCTGGGGTCCCCGCCTCTCCTCAGGACGAGTCGAAGCCGCCGTACTCCTACGCGCAGCTGATCGTGCAGGCCATCTCCTCGGCCCAGGACCGACAGCTCACGCTCAGCGGCATCTACGCACACATCACCAAGCATTACCCCTACTACCGCACCGCCGACAAGGGCTGGCAGGTGAGGCCGGGCGGCGCGTCCGCCGTGCCCTCCTCGGGTCTTCCCACGGCGCTCGCCCTCCACACCCAGGGCCGGGGAGGGCGGGCTAGGCGCCCCGCACACCGCCCAAAGCAGGGGTGGGAACGCCCGGCCCAGGCTGGGAGACCACCGGGTCTGGTGTTGTCAAGGCGGCCCTTGGATGCCGTCCATCTGCAGCGGGCACTTGCCAGCGGACGGTGTGTGTGGCCTGTGGGTTAGTGGGCACCAGGCGTGGTGGCCCCTGCCGGTATCTCAGGACGTGTGTCGAGCCCTGCACGACGCCTTCTCCCTGTCACTGACGGCCCCCTGGGCTTGGCCTTGCCGTTTGCCTTTGTAAAGACTGGTGGTTGCTGGTGACTTGCGGGGAGGAGCCACAAGCCTGGCCCGTCCCCACCATCACCGGTGACTCGCCCCATCTCCCCCTGCAGAACTCCATCCGCCACAACCTCTCGCTGAACCGCTACTTCATCAAAGTCCCTCGCTCCCAGGAGGAGCCGGGCAAGGGGTCTTTCTGGCGGATCGACCCGGCCTCCGAGGCCAAGCTGGTGGAGCAGGCGTTCCGGAAGCGGCGGCAGCGGGGCGTGTCCTGCTTCCGCACCCCCTTTGGGCCCCTGTCCTCCAGGTGTGTGTCCCCTGTGGCCCGCCTGGACAGAGATGGGGGGTGGGCCTAAAACCAGCCTATGGGCAGGGGGAGGGAGAGCACAGATCCTGGCACAAGGAAGCCGCAGCGGCACCCTCCCGGACCACACACGCAGCCCTAGGTGCTCAGCCGCCTCCCCGGGGAAAACCCGCACCCCACCCCCACCCGGACTCTGCGCTTTCTGTCCCCCGCCATGCTGTATGAGGCTGTGTTTGTGTTGGGGTCTGGCCCAGTGACTCCCAGGGGGCCGGTCCCGTGGGTCCCGTCAGATGGCCCGGTGACTCCCAGGGGGCCGGTCCCGTGGGTCCCGTCAGATGCTGGTGGTTTTCACAGCGCCTGAGCCACCTTGGGGTGTGGCAGACAGAGGGTGCTTTCCAGGAAGTAAATGGCGCTGACCAGGAGGCTCCCGCCACATGGCCCCACGGAGGAGCTCCAACGCCAGGGTCCCTGTCACCGCCGGGGCCTCCCTCCCTGGCCTTGGCAGGCGTAGTGTGTCACCTCCCGTGTTCTCTCCCTCTCCCGTAGGAGTGCTCCCGCTTCACCCACCCACCCTGGGCTCACGTCCCCTCGTTCCAGCGGCCTGCAGACGCCAGAGTGTCTGTCCCGGGAGGGCTCGCCCGTCCCACATGACCCTGACCTTGGGTCAAAGTCAGCCTCCGTTCCTGAGTACCGATATTCCCAGAGCGCACCCGGTAAGGCTCGCTGGGTCCCCTCAGGGACGTGGCAGGGGAGGGCCGGGGTGCTGGTGTCACGGTCGCTCTCTGTCCCCTCCCAGGCTCCCCCGTCAGCGCCCAGCCAGTGGTCATGGCTGTGCCCCCCCGGCCGTCCAACCTCGTGGCCAAGCCGGTGGCCTACATGCCGGCCTCCCTCGTGACCTCGCAGCAGCCCTCGGGCCACGCGATCCACGTGGTGCAGCAGGCCCCCACCGTCACCATGGTCCGCGTGGTCACCACTGCTGCCAGCTCCGCCAACGGGTACATCCTCACCAGCCAGGGCTCGGCCGGGGGCCCCCACGACGCAGTGGGCTCGGCCGTGCTGGACCTGGGCGGTGAAGCCAGAGGTAACGCGCCCCCGCTGTCCTTTTGGGAGCCTGTCTGTCCACCTCCACGCCGTGCAGCCCAGGTGCCCCCTGCTGGTGCCCTCCCCCCCCCAGCTGCCACTGAACTAGGGCACGGGGTCCTGCATAGAAGAACAGTGGCCTGGTCAGAGCTCCGTCACACCCACAGTGAGGAGTCGCGGGAAGACGTAGCTGGGGTTTCCCGTGGAGCCCTGGCCGCAGGGATGGGGGCCAGCGAGTGGTGCCTCCTGCTGGGCAGTGCCCGGGGTTCCGGACAGAGCCAGGGGAAGCCTGCGTCTGGCTGAGTGGTGACGGCGTGGCTCTCCGAGCACCGCGGGGCAGCACGCCACCTCCTTCTCAGGTGCCCTCTGCAGTGGCCGTGTTTGAGGGGTTCTTATGGCCCTATTCATTGTTTTCCTTCAAGCCCTGTTACCTGTTTCCTCTGTGGGGTGTCCTTTTTTTGGTTGTTGCTTTTCATGATTTATTTATCTAAAGGAGAGAGGAGAGAAAGCTCTTGCATCCACTGGCTCACTCCTCAAATGCCCACAGTGGCTGGGGCTGTGCCAGGCCAAAGCCAGGAACTTGGAACTCTATCCAGGTCTCCCAGGTGCACGCCGGGGCCCATGCACTTGGGCCATCGTCCACTGCTTTCCCAGGCGCATTCGCAGAGAGCTGGATAGGCCGTGGAGCAGCTGGGACTCAGCCTGGTGCTCGCACATGGGATGCCCGCGCCAGGTGGCAGCTTAACCCGCCGCACCGCAGGCCAGGCCCCAGCTTCCTCCCGGGAGCCCGTCCTCCCAGTCCGTGGCTGGGCACATGGGCATGCTGGCCTCGTGGGTCCACAGTTCTGACACAGTTGGTCCCCACAGGATTGGAAGAAAAACCCACCATTGCATTTGCCACAATCCCTGCGGCCAGCCGGGTCATTCAGACGGTGGCCAGCCAGATGGCCCCTGCGGTCCCGGGACACACGGTCACCATCCTGCAGCCGGCCGCCCCCGTGACCATCGGGCAGCACCACCTCCCCGTCCGCGCCGTCACTCAGAATGGAAAGCACGCAGTGCCTACCAACAGTTTAGCCGGCAGCGCTTACGGTGAGCCCAGCCACTTCTCCATGCCCTGCACCGCGCACTGTGCACGGGGCCGCCCCGGGGCGGGAACGGCTCCCAGCATCGCCGAGCGGCCGGCCCGAGCGCTGGCTGAGGCCTGCTCTGTGCCAGCACTGGGGTCGTCACAGTTAGTGCCGAGGTGGGGTGCTGATGGCGGAAGCCAGATGCCCCTGCCATGGAGCTCAGGCCCGGCCGGCGCAGGGGGTCCCCAGGGTGGGTTCTCCTGGTGGTTCAGGGTAGGGCGATGTGAGAGGTGAGCCTTCTAGGAGGCCAGAGGGTCCAGACGGGCGGTGGCCAGGGAAGGCCCAAGCCCGGGCCGCCTGGCAGGTGGGCAGGGAGGGGCCAGCACCCCAGCCCCACAGGGCAGAGCAAGGCTGGAGCCAGCCGAGGGCTGGGCCTGGCGCTACTGTGGCCGCTGGGTGATGAGCCCGCGGGCTCCTCCGTGGGCCGTTTGACCGGTGGGGGTCCTGGCCGGAGTTCCCGAGTAACCTCTCCCTTCTCCTCTCCCAGCCCTCACCAGCCCTCTGCAGCTGCTCGCAGCCCAGGCGAGCTCGTCCACGCCGGTGGTGGTCACACGGGTGTGCGAGGTGGGGCCCGAGGAGCCAGCAGCAGTGGGCGTGGCCACAGTCACCGCCACCACCACCCCGGCCACCACCACCACCGCCTCTGCCTCTCCCACCGGGGAGCCCGAGGTCAAAAGGTCCCGGGTGGAGGAGCCCAATGGGACTGCAGGCGCCCAGGCGGGGGGCAGCACAGCTGCCAGCCCCCCGGGCCCTGGCACCGGCGAGTGACGTCACGGCCCGCGGAGTGGGACTCACGCCAACAGCAACTCCCGAGCCGGGCCCGACTCTGCCAACGGCTGCACTGGGACCGAGGAGAAAGCGCTGCCGCTGCTGCTGCCCGCCCACGGCCCGTGCTGCGCGGGCAGGCGGCCACCCGCCGCCCGGCACGCTCGGCCCTTCCCGTCCCTCTCCCATCCTCCCGTGGTTCAGACAAAACATAAATGCGTTCAGACCCCGACTGTGTACCCTGGGATTCTTTGTCTCTGTTTCTTCTCCCCCGGCACCACCTTCTCGCCCCAGGCCTGTCTGCCCAGCGTGGGGAGAAGGCAGCAGCCCGGACCCCAACGAAAGCAGCAAGAGGAGGCCGCCGCCAGCAGGAAGCCCCTGGCCCAGCGTCCCGTGTGGACAGAGCAGCCCTCGCCCCCCAGGAGGACAGAACTGAACCGCAGCGTGGCCAGGCCGAAGCCTTGCCCAGAAGGAGGCGAGGGGCCGTCCCTGCGTGCACAGGGCTGGCGCGGGCAGGAGAGGCGGGGCGTCTCCCTGGAAGCCGCAGAGAAAGGATCAGCATTACTTGGGAGGTGGGCGGGCGGTCCGATTTGGCCTTGGACCCCGCGTTTCCTGTTTGGCTCACACATGGCATTGAAGCTCCCCATACCCCTGAGACGGGCACCCTGGGGACGCGGAGTTTCTGAGCTTTCCGTCCACACGGCCCGGGGTTCTGGCCCCGGTCCGGCGCTCGGCAGGGAGCCCACCGCTCTGTGTTAACTCCAAGAAAGGCGGGTGGCTTCCCGCAGGGGCCCTGCAGGTGCGGCTCCCTGGATGGAAGGTGAGCCCAGGGCCGGGGCTGGGCGTCCGCCTGCTGCACTTCGTCGTCTGGAAGAGTGGACGGGAGCCGAGGGCTGCAGCCGTCCCCAGAGCCAGCTCCCTCGCCCCTCCTCCGGCCGTCGCTGCGGCGTGGGAATGGTTGCTTCAGCCTCGAGCCCAGGATCCCTGGTCGATCAGCGGAAAGAAAACTACCTCCCACGCCCCTCGTGCCCGCCCGGCTGGGTTTGCTTCTGACATCGTGAGAAACGGAAGACAGGACGCTGAGGAAGTCGCGTGAGCTCCGGCCGGGAGCAGGAGTCGAGCCACAGCCTCCCCGAGACTTCTGGAAGGGACCCCACGCTGCCCGTGGCCACAGCCGGAAGCAGCGCCGCCTCCGACCCCTGCTGAGAAAGCCAGAGCCCTCCGGTGCCTGCACAGTGAGGGGCCGCAGCATCCCGCCCGAGGTGGGCCGTGCCGGTGTGTGCGGGTCGGACGTGTGAAGTCGGCTGTCCGTGACGTGCGCGTGGGCCGCCCTGTGTGGGGTTTCAGAGGACGGGGGGCGGGAGGGGCAAGCCAGGCAAGCCGCCGTGCACACCGTGGCTGGTGTGTGTGTGTGTGTGTGTGTGTGTGGCCGGGTGCGCGAGGGCAGAGTGAGGGGGGTTCCAGTGCGGCTCAGGTCAGAGCACTGCCCGTAGTGCTGGCCGCGTCCCTCCCTCCCTCACTGTGACGTACCCCGGAGCTGGCGGGGGCTTCTGTGGTCTGGGGGCTCTCTCCCTCGGGGAGGCCACCCTGGTCCACGCGGGGTGCGGACCTGGAGCCCGTTGTCCTCTCTGCTCGCTCGCCCTTGCATGCCTGGCTTGGGGCATCCTGGTCCCTGTGCCGTCTGCCATCCAGGGGAGGGTCTCGCTGCTCGCTCCGGCTCCCGGCACAGCAGGGGCAGCCAGGGCAGACACCGGGTCACGTCGTGGGGCTGCTGAAGGACCAGGAGGAGGGGCTGAGCGAGGCTCATGCCCTGGGGGCTCGGCTCAGCTCAGCCGGCTGGGGCCAAGGCCCAAGCTGTTCTCCTCTGGGTTCGTCAGCAGGAGGTCTTCCAAGGGTTTTTGGTCATCTGACTGGGTCGTGTGCCTGGCTCACGCTAGAGCCTGACCTGGAACTGTGGCCAGAGGCCCAGGACTAGCCAGAGCGCCTGGCCCGAGGAGGTGACTCCAGCCAGAGGCCCCCCAGTGCCTAGTGACCACACGAGGGCCTCCCAGCCACAGGGAGGAGCCCAGGCCAGGGGACCAGAAGGCCACGCCCCTCGGCTCTGAGGCGCCCGTGACCGCCCCGCACCAGACAAGGGCCAGCATGCTGTTTCCAGGATGGTAGGGGTCAGGGGCAGGTGAGCCTCCTGCCCGCGCCCGTGGTCCTGCTCCCCAGGAGGGAACGGATTTGCCGGGGCTCCCCCTCCCCTGCAGGCCGCCTGTCCCCAGAGGCATTCAGCCAAGGCTGGGACCCAGCCACCTGCCCCTGGGCCTCTGTCCCTCCCCGGTCCTAGCAAAGCTCAGCAAATGCTCCTGACTCCTCCCAAACCAAGCAGGGGCTCCCAGGCGGAGCCGGTGGGGGGAGCAGCCCCCACCCTGGGCGGGGGGGAGCAGGAATGAGGCTGCGTCTGAGCAAACAAGAAAATGTGAGAGAAAAAGGAAGGATTTCCCCCGGCTTTCAGAGGCGAGGAGTCGGTTCTCCACGGGACACTCAGTGCCCACGTCCACCCCGGGGCCCCGCGGAGCCAGGGCGCCCGCACAGGTCACAGAAATGCTTGTGACTGCAGGCTGGACGGGAGCCCCGTGCACCGCCTGGGAGCCGGGCTGCCGGAGGCCGGTGCCAGGACCTCCACCAGGGCTCGAGGCTGGTAATGGCCGTGACTTAGGCTGCACCTGCCGCCCTGGGGACAGCGTGGCTCCACCTTGGGGGTGCGTGTGGGACAGGCTCGGGCGCACGTTCCCCGCCGGCCCCCACCTGTGTCTCCCACGGCGTCCCCCGTGTCTCTGAGCTCTCCCTCTGCCCTTGTGTCTGTCCCCAATTCGGGTTTTCAACGCTCAGGACGTGGTTCGCAGCAGCCACACGCTGATGCTGTACTAGAGTTTGGTGCAGGACACCTGCTGCTTGCGATTTCATCCCCTACCAAAGCTGCTACCCTTGGTGACCGGGGATCGGCGCTCTGCCGGCGTCCCGGCTGCCCCAGCCTCTGTGGGCAGACTTCCCGCGCATGGCCTGGGTGCCGCGGGCCGGGTGCGTCCGGAGAAGGGACCGTCCTGCCTGGATCTGCTCGCTTTGCCCCCACCCCACCCCTGAAGTTCCGGCTGCTTGGGAGAGGGTTTTGAGGTAAAACCATTTTTTCTGAACTGAAATAACCAACGGACCCACCTCACAGACTCTGTTTAGGGAAAATGCTCTCACGAAAGTCCTCGCGGGTTGCCTGCGTCCTCTCCTGGGGGCAGGACTTGGTCCAGCTCTGCTGCTGGAGCGGACGCTGCAGAACCCTGTGCAGGTGCCGCTGGGCATGTGGGGTGCATGGGAGCCCCGGGGCTGGTGGGAGTCCGTGGGGGCGAACACAGAGGATGAAGGCAGCTGGAGAGGCAGAGGAGGGCGGGCAGCAGGAGGCCCCTGTCCCCCCACGTGGCGGATCAGCCCAGGCAGGACGGCTGCAGCCAGTGCTCCGGGCGCTCTTGCCCACCGCAGGGCAGGCCTGGGGTGCACCGCCTTGGCCCGAGCCTCGGGGTCCCGGGCCGGTTCTGGGCTGAGCACTCGCTGTGTCATAGGCAGCTTCCCGAGGGCTTGCTCCTCCTTGGCAACTGACCGCTGCCCTCACAGTCAGAAAGTAGCGAGAAGACCGAGGGTCCGGAGCAGTGGCCCCTGGCTGAGGGGGACCCTCCAGGGGCCAGCGGCAGCTGCAGGGGCTGTGGCAGACCCCAAGTCCCTCTGTCACCTGTTTGCCTCCTGCCCTGTTACCTTCAAAGTCAGAAGAGTCTGGGACCATCCCAGTGCTTACGGGTGCTCTGCTGTGCATGGGGCACGGGGCCCAGGGTGGCCCCCGGGCAAAGACCCTGTCCTGGGAGCAGCTTCTAGAACTGTCCGCCAAGGGTGTCGGCTGAGCCGGAGTAAGAGCCGTGACTCTACATAAGTAGCCGTTTTATTGTCATGAGTTTTCCCCGTGCACGAGGCTCACCGGCCAGCGTGGATGTGAAACTGTGCCACGGCTCCACGTTGTCGGGTTAGCTGGTCCACGTTCGTTCTCCTTCTTCTTTTTTAAATCCATAAGGATGGGGGTTTCAGATAACACGTTAGGCCCCCTCTGCCCTCCATGTCCCCCTTCAAGGTGGCTTCACTTCTGTGTCGGGAGGAGCGGCGGGCGCTGTGTCCCGGGTCTGTCCCCAGACTGAGCTGTGTCCCACAGGCCCACGTGCGGGAGGGAGACTTTTTGTTCCTTACCTGAACGAGGATTCTCCTGTAAAAATAATTCGGGGGGAGGGGCGGGTGTTCAGGCTGAGTGTGTGCGAGAGTGTGCGAGTGTGTATGAGTGTGGTTTTTTTTTTTACAGTGACGTATTTTTTTTTTCACAATATGTCTAATCAGCGCTTTAAAAAGCAGTGGTATCCTAGCAGGCGGGCACCTTGGTTCCAGGGCTCGGGCCATGCGGGTCCAGTCCCGGCACAGCGCCCACCCCACGCCCACGGCCGCCCACACCGGCACTCGGGACAGAAAGCCGCCAGGCCCACGCCGGGTGCCTTCTCACTTCCGTGGGCTACAGTGTTTTTTTTTTTTAATAAGGAGCCATACGTTTTTTAAAAAAAAAAAAATTCGAGCTCTGAATGTGATTTCTAATTGTATCAGACGTTAATGTTTTAAAGCTATAACGAAGTTTAAAATTTCTACCTTTTCCATTTATTTTAACTGTTCTTTTTATCTATTAAATTGTTGGATGTGGATGGGGAAGTTTTGTTTCTCCTCTTAGCATTTGTTTCTATAACCAGAAATAAAATTATCTATGAAAGAAACGACCTTGGGGCTCCAGGTGGTCCTTGCGCGTGGCGGTGACCGCCGGGCAGCCGGGTCGCCCAGCCCGGGCCGTCCCGGGGGCAGGCGCTGGTGCGGCCTCGCGCCTCCACCGGTCCCCCTCTCCGGTTCTGCGCAGCGCGGCAAACCCACAAGGCCTGGGCCGCCCTCGGCAGGTGGCCTGGGGGAGCCTCCGCTCTGCACCTGCGCACGCACGTCTCCGGGCACTGACCCAGAGACCCGGCCTCTTCCCGCGGGGGCCGGGCGGGGCTCCCGAGGGCTCCGCAGCGGGGTGTTCGGGGTTCACACGGGGCCAGTCCAGGCTCCTGCCCGCCTGGAGGCCCCGTGAGCATCGCAGGATCCTCACCAAGGCCTTGGAGCGCGCGTGGCTTCTGAAGCTTTGTGCTCCGAAACGGATGTCCGCTCCACTGAGGCTCCCTTGTGTCTGCGGGGGCGAGAAGCAGCGGCTTCCCCCAGGAGCATCGCTGGCCGCGGTCCCCCTTCCAGGGTCATCACTGCACGTTTGCTCCAGCGACAGCGTGCACCGAATACACGGGGCACGGGGCGGCGGGCACGCGCGGAGCCGGGGTCCAGCCGGGAGAACGGGGCGCGGGGCCGCCGCGGAAGCTGCAGCATCGCGCTGCGCAGCTCTCCCCACCCGCGCCCAGATCTGGAAACGGTCAGCACGAGGACAGCCGAGTCCACTGGACAAGACCAGCCCGCGGGGTCGGGGGTCGGGGCTCTCTGACGGCTGCGCCGGGGTGGCCAGCGGCGTGGCCAGCGCGCGAGGCCCTCCGACGGGCCCCCGAGGTTGTGCCCTTTGGGGAACTGTGAGGACGGCCAGTCCCGGGGTTCGGGACGCGGTCGGGTCCCTAACGCACCAAGGGGAGCGGCCCCGCGGGGCGGGCGCGGCTGCGGCGGAGCCCGCGCAGGGGGCGCGGCGTTCCTGTAGGGGTGCAGCCGGGCTGCGAGGGGCGCACGCCCAGTCCTCGCCACCAGTCGCCGTCGCGAACTCGCCACCGCGCCCGAGACAGAAGCGCACGGAGCGGGGACCGAACCTGCGCGCCGGACCCGCCCGGGCTCAAGCTGGTCCCGAGCCGCGAGAACCACCAGGCCCTAACCCCGCCCCCAAGACACCCCACGCCAAAGCCCATTGGCCGGCGGCCGGCCGGCCCTTCCCACGTGACGCGGCACGTGACGCGACCCCGGAAGCCGCCTGCGCCGGCAGGGGCGGCCTGGCTCACGTGACGCGACTCCGGAAGCGAGCCGGGCCGCGGCGGCTGGCGTCTCGGCGGCCCGCTCGGTCCGTGGACGGCGGCGCCGGCATGTTTTCGGCGGGAGCGGAGAGCCTGCTCCACCAGGCCAGGTGCGGGGACGCCGCGGCCCACTCCGCCTCCCCAGGTCGCCCGGGTGTGGGTCTCGGCCCCTGGCCGCGCTGACAGGGGGCGGCGCCGGCCGGGAGCGGGATGGGGAGGCCGGGGCAGCGCCAGGTGGTCCCCGGAGGAGCGGAGGACCGGCCCCGCGGCGTGGTCACAGGCGTGGCGGGGACCGCCTGCGTCGGGCGGCGGAGCTGGGGTAGCCGGCAGCCCTGGCTTCCGAGTCGGCCGCGGCGGATGCACTGGCCGGGTGCAGAGGTGCCGGCCCTGCTCTGCTCCTAGGGGACGCGGGCCGACCCCCTGTGAGCGCCCCCTTCCCCTCACCCGGCAGCCGGCCGCGGCCGGGGCCGGGAGCGCGCGGGAGGCTGGCAAACACACAGATCCGGATTTGGAGCTGGACGCGGGGGTGGGAGGGGACGGGAGCCCTGGGGGTCGCCGCGGGGTCCGGAGGTCCAGCGTCCGAGCCCTGGCCCAACAGCCGCGGGAACCCCTGGCGCCGAGTGGGCCCGAGGCGCTCCGCCCTTCCTTGGGTCCCTGGGCCGGATTGAATGAGCAGCACCTGCTGGGCGCGCGGCTCGGTACTAAGGCAGGCGCTCTCCCGTGTTACTGATTTATGATCGATTGACAGGCAGAGTGGCAGGTCTGCCTTCCTGTAGTTCAATGGCCAGGGCTGTGCCAGGCCGAGGTCAGGAGCCCAGAATTCCATCCCGGCTCCCCACTCCCTTGGGCCAGCGCCTGCTGCTTCCCGGGTCCACCACCGGGACCCCACAGCTCCGCCCCCCTCCCCTCGCTGTGTCTGTGTGGGCAGAGCCCGAGTTAAAAGGCAGGAGCTGCCTCGGGTCCCTGGAGGCCTCACGGGGACCGGCTGCAGCTGAAGAGCTGGGGTTCGAGATGGGCTTGCGCGTTTCCCTGCGTGCTTCCAACACGGGGAAAAGCCCGGGGAAAAAGAGCAATGCACGCGGAGGCGGGGGTGGGGGGAGGTACCCGGCCACGGGGGTGGGGGCTCCAGGAGGAAGAGGCAGCCAGAGGGAGGCTTCGGGAAGGGCGGAGGTGAGAGGAGCAGGACCTGAGGGCCCCGCCGGCTCTGTAGGAGTTTGGGTCAGACTGCAGGGCAGGGGGCTTGGGAAGGGTCCGGCGGACGGTGCTTTATGGAGACTGCCGAGGAGATCCAGTGGGGGGCGGCAGCAGGCTGCGACCTTCTCCAGGGTGGTCGGCTTCGGTTCTAGCCAGTTGAAGAAAAAAAAAAAGCGAAAATAAAACGAGGGGCCGCGCAGAGCCCCCGACTACAGTTCCTGAGTGCACACATCCTGTGCCGCCAGCAGGGGGCGCCCGCGTTCCCCCTTCTGCCTTGGCAGGTGCACGCTGGGTTTGCTCGGTCTCCCCCGTGGCCGGCGCTGAGCAGGTGCGTTCCGGGTGAAGCCGGCTGAGGACTAGAATGGGAAAGTCACTGTCCTGTAAGGCCGCTCTCCGGACCCGCGCCCCCAGGAGTGAGAGGCTCGGGGGCGCCACCTCGTGGCAGGCGACCACAGCCGACCCCCGATGCCCAAGGCTTTTCGCCTACTCCCAGGGTAACAAGGCTGGGACCGCGGCAGCTCTGCCGTGAGACGGGGTCACCCGGCCCGAGAGCGCCTCCCAGCGCCCAGCCAGCGCTTGGCCAAGGTGGGGTCCTCCCCCCGGGCCCTCGGAGCCCACGCGCGCCTCTCTGTCCAGAGAGATCGAGGACGGGGAGCTGCGCCAGTTCTGCTCGCGGCTCAGCCAGCTGCTGGGGGCGGAGGACGCGGGCCCCGAGGCCGTCGACGGCCTGCAGAGGCTCTTCCTCATCGTCTCGGCCACCAAGTACCCGCGGAGGTGAGTGTGGCGGCACCCGGCCGACAGCGTCCCGCGGGGGAGGGCCCGGGCCGGCTTCTCGGCCATGACGGGGGCCGGGGTCCCGCCCCGCAGGCTAGAGAAGTCGTGCGTGGACCTGCTGCAGGCCCCCCTCCGCTCGCCCGCGGGCCCCGAGCAAGTGCAGGTCCTCTGTGCCGCCATCCTGCGAGAGATGTCGCCCTACGACAGCCTGAGCCTGTCCTGCGAGCACGCCCACGACGTCCGGCAGCTCAGCCTGCTGGCCTCCGTCCTCTTAGCCCAGGTAGCGCTGTGGGCACCCAGCTCGGCCTCGGGTGCTCCCCGCCGCCTTCCCTGTCTTTAGGCCCCGGGGCCGGGGCTGCTCCGGGCAGGCTCTGGCTGCCCCTGGGCGTGCCTTTCTCCCGTGTGCTGCCTGCGTGCGCCTGGTTGCTGTGGGAGACACGGAGCTGACTGGCTGGGCTTCAGTCCCTGAGAGACCTGCGTGGCACGGTGGTCCCAGGGGAAGGCTGTGGGGGCTTCCACACCGCCCCACCCCATCGGGAGGGACCAGACAGCCTGGTGAGTGCCTAGGAGGCCCTGGGGGCGCAGGTGTCGGGGCAGCGCTCGGCTGTTCACGGTGCTGACCAGCCCACCCCACTCAGCAGGACCCACATCTTTTGGTCCCCTGGGACCCCATCCCCAAACCCCAGACCACGCAGCATTTCTGCCATGCCCCTGGAGTGGGCGGCCCACAGGGCGCGTCACACCCGCAGGGCACCTCAGCACCCACAGGACATGTCAGAGCACACAGGGCGCGTCAGAGCACCCGCAGGGCACATCAGAGCACACAGGGCGCGTCAGAGCACCCACAGGGCACGTCAGAGCACCCGCAGGGCACATCAGAGCACACAGGGCGCGTCAGAGCACCCACAGGGCACATCAGAGCACACAGGGCGCGTCAGAGCACCCACAGGGCACGTCAGAGCACCCACAGGGCGCGTCAGCACCCGCACCGCAAGGTGGCTGGCTGTGAGGGCTCTGGTGGTCGGGTCGAGGCTCAGCCTGCAGTGCCGCCGCTGTGGGTGTTTAAGGAGCGAGCCAGCAGGTGGGAGTGCTCGCTTGCTCTCCGCTTCTCAACTAAGTAATGTTTCTTTGGGGGAAAAAAACTTTACAGGAAAATGGAATTTAAAATTTACTTTAGCACAAAACGTGGGAGTTCTGGCATAGTGTTTCTTTCTTTCTTTCTTTCTTTCTTTTTTTTTTTTTTTTTGGACAGAGTGGACAGTGAGAGACAGAGAAAGGTCTTCCTTTGCCGTTGGTTCACCCTCCAATGGCCGCTGCAGCCGGCGCACTGTGCTGATGTGATGGCAGGAGCCAGGCACTTCTCCTGGTCTCCCATGGGGTGCAGGGCCCATGCACTTGGGCCATCCTCCACTGCACTCCCAGGCCACAGCAGAGAGATGGCCTGGAAGAGGGGCAACCGGGACAGAATCCAGCGCCCCGACTAGGACTAGAACCCAGGGTGCCAGCACCGCAAGGTGGAGGATTAGCCTAGTGAGCCGTGGCGCCGGCCCTGGCACAGTGTTTCTTCATGATACGCATTTTCCATGGAGTCTTGAAGATTATTTTATGTATCTGAAAGAGTTACAAAGGAGAGAGAGGGAGAGAAAGAACTCCCATCCTCGGGTTTACTCCTCAAGTGGCTGGGCCAGGCCGAGGCCAGGAGCTCCCTCTGGGTCTCCCACGCGGGTGCAGGGCCCAAGCACTTGGGCCATCTGCTGCTGCCCTTCCTAGGCCATAGCAGG